AGTTGTTAATAGGGGGCTCATTGTTTGGGCAGAAAACTCTCTTAATCACATAATTCAACCCTGTTCTTACAATCCCCTGATCTGTGGTTTGGTGATTTTATTTTTACTGGTTTTTGTTATTGTTGTTTTGGCTTCACAAAAAAAAAAAAAAAAAAAAAAAAAAAAAAAAAAAGCTTGTTTTTTGTTGTTTTGTTTTTTAAGTTGTGAACAAGCATGTTCCTACCCAACCAGTGCCATGGCAGGACAGAGATCCACATGCAGGCCCATGCCAGGCTTCAAGGAGAAAACATAGGCCTCCCTAGCACCACAAGGCACCGGGCAGATGGGGCACTGTTATGACAAGAAAATGTACAGTGTGTTATTGGAGAGAGACAGAGACAGAATGGTTTATTTCCAATGGACAGAGGCATAGACAGAATGGGTCATTTCCCATGGACAGAGGCATAGACAGAATGGGTCATTTCCCATGGACAGAGGCATATCCTAAGAAGTGAAAGCAGTGAGGAGTGGGTTGAAGTGAGTGGCTTGATTGCCACTCAGTGACATGGTGATGTCTCAGCCTGGGCTGCTGCCAGGGCCCATGCCTAGGTTCATGGCCCTGATGCAGCCAAGGTCTGTGTTCATGTTTGATGTCCTTGATGTCACCAAAGGCCAAGAGGATAGGGCTGTACAGAGTTGGTCCTGCCCCTCACTGACTGAAGCACTCAGGAGAGAGGGTCCTACACCTCACCTGGGCAGCACAGCAGAGCTGACACTGTTCGGAGGAGCATAAGCAAGCTGACCCTGAGGGTATGAGATTGGGAGAGCAGGTCACACCTCTCTCATCTGCTATGTGGTAGCGTGGGTGAGGGAAAGATGCCCTCCCCCCATTGCCCTGCTGCCTCAAGCAGGCAAGGGAGCTGACCCATTTACCAGCTGCAACTTTCAGGAAAGCGGGCCCTGCACCTTGTCTGGGCAGCACAGCAGAGCTGACCCTGTTGACAAGGACACAGGTGAGCTGGGCCCGAAAATGTGAGTGGGGGAGACCTGGCCCCATCCCTCATCTGCCATATGGTGACACAGGATAGAAAGAGATGCCCTCCCCCAGCCCCCATCAACATCTGGGGCTGATGGGAGAACTGACGCTGAGGTCATAAGAGCAGGAGAGCTGCTCCTGGCCCCCACCAGCTGTCACACTTGGGAACATAGGCCATGCACCTTGCCTGGACAGCACAATAGAGCCAAGCCTGTCGGTGGAAGTATGGGTGAGCCAGTCCTGAAGTGGTGTGGGCAGGGAGATACCCCTCTTACCCCTCACTCCTCACTGTCTGAAACAGATGAGGGAGCTGAGGCTCCCCACTGCCAGCTGCAGCACTGGGGACAGTGGGCCCTGTTGCTTGCCTGGGCAACACAGTAGGGCTGATCCTGACGGCAGAGGTGGGGGCGAGCCAGTCCTGAAGTTGTGACCATGGGAGAGCTGTCCCCATTACTCATCTGTCATGTGAGGCATGGGCAGGCGAGAGATGCCCCTGCCCCCCACCAGCTGCAGCACTCAGGAGAGCAGGCCCTGCACCTCCCCTGGGCAGCACAGCAGAGTCAACCCTGTTGGCAGAGGTGTGGGTGAGCCCGCCCCCAAGTTGTGAGTAAGAGAGAGCTGTCCTCATTATTCATCTGCCATGCAGCAGCATGGGCAGGGGAGAGCATCTCCCCCACACACACACATCCCGCCCCGTGGCAGAGCTGGCCCTGAGGTCATAAGAGCTGGAGAGCTGTCCCTGCCCCTCATCAGCTGCAGCACTCGGGGAAGTGGTCACTACACCTCAACTGAACAACATGGTAGAACTGGCCCTGAAGGTGTCGGTGTGGCGGGACTGACCCTGAGGGTGTGAAAGCAGCAGAACTGCCCCACCCCCACCCCCAGGGCTTATCCCTGCAAAGGGTGAACTCGCCAGGGCAATGCTGGAGAGCTCACTCTGTTGGTGAAGATAGGGGAGAGCTGGCAGGCTAACCAACCCTGCAACTACCCAGGCCCAGAACCAGGGTTAAGTGTTGACCCACCCCAACATCCACCCCATCTGTGATCTGCTGCAGGGAGAGGAGGGGATCCTGCAGATCAAGGACTACAGGATCTCCACGACACAGAGCAGCAATGGGATGTCCAGGAAGAGTGCCAGTGAGGGCCCAGTGTCAATAATGTAGCAGAGACCAGGGGCCTTGGACCACACCAATGATTCTTTTTGACGAATGCCTGCATATAAAGATGTATGGATAAAGGGGCTTACTGTATGAAAACGTTAATAACTAAAAAAAAAACTAAATAAACTTTTGTGTTCCTGGGTCCTTTAAAAAAAAAAAAAAGTTGTCCTCCTGCTACCTTATGGAAGGATTTGTGTGTTGTGGTTCAGGCAGAAAAACGCATTCTGTGAAAACGTGAAAATGCATCAAAAGCTGATCCTGACAGTTGTAAGTATGCCACACAGTGTGTGATCCTGGACAAATTAAATAAAACAACTAAGCCTATTGATAGAAGAGAAATAAGAATACCACAAAGATTGATTAAATTTATTTATAGAAAGGTTTATAGGAAATACCTTTTTTAAAGGTTTTTAAAGTGTGTGTGTGTGTGTGTGTGTGTGTGTGTGTGTGCATGTGTGCATGAGTATGTGTGCCCGTGTGCCACCTGTGTGCTTGTATCTGTAGAAGCTAGAAGCCAGAGTCAAATCCCCAGGAACTGGATTACAGGTGGTTGTGAGCAACCTGATGTAGGTGCTGGAAATGAATAGGATCTTCTGGAAGTGCTCTTAACTGTGGATTCATCTCTCCAGCATCAGAAAATAATTTTTACTATCATTTATATCTAGATAGAGCAAAAACAATTTTGAATATAGCTCTAAAGGATGCACTACTCAGCCATAAGCAAAGTCCTCTTTGTATCCCTCCCTCCCAGCTTCTGGGACAAATGAGAATAATATGCAGAAGTACTTAACCTGGATGACTTGACCCTTTAGAAAATTTAAGGGATGTTCATGGTGCTTTTCCCAAAAGAATCACACTGTCTAGGGATGGGTAGCCCTGGGTGCTACGAAGCATATATGTGAACCACAGAGCCTAGTGGTTCACATGGCACCATGAGCATTCAACACCTCACTGCTACCCTCTATCAGCAGAGGATGAGACCTGTTCTCCTTTTTGGATAGGATTTGAGAAAATGACATGGTTCATCCCAGCTACACCGCAAGTCACTATCTATATAGCTGAGAGCCAACCAAGTCATCCATTCCACCCTCAACCATAGATGAGCACATCTCCCTGCCCCAACCTGACGTCAGGGCCCAAGCCTGTCTGCTTAGTCCTCTGTCTATGTGGAAAAACAACAGAATTAGGTATGTTCAAAAGCTTGCATCATCCCCCTGAAGTCTATGAAGACAACAGCTCGTTGTTACCAAGAGCACAATATACATTTGGCATTGGCACCTCAGCCTTGCAATGACAGTCTCAGGTGGGCTTCATTGCCTCCTGCAGTGAATGGTGGTACCGGGTGGTACCACTGGAATGGCCTTTCTCACCGCTCTCTTTCTCCAGGCAGCCTGGTGCTGTGGCTCTTGGTGGGGCATTCCAGATGCACATTAACTTGGAGTTCTTAGTTGATCCCTATGGGGCCTGTAGATTACTTGGCCCTCTTTCAGCTCTCCTGACACATGAGCTCAACTAGAACTGTGCTCTTCACATAAAAGCCTCACTGTGCTGGCTTCACAGTTCTGCAAATCCATGTGTGTCTTCCCTCCATGTCAGGATGTCAGATTCCCCACAAATGTATGTGAGGTGCCCCTGAAGCCTCAGAATCCTCCTAGTAACTTGCTGGCCATTTCATGTAAGAACGGGACGCTTAGCATCCTATTCAAATCTCAAACACCCATCTTGCCTGCCATCATCCTTTCAGGGTCCAGTCCAGGCACCTGTGGTGGCAGAACATCCTTTTGTACAGCCAGGAAAATGGCTGGGACGCAGTGGGATCAAAGTGAGCATTGTAGTCTTAACTATACCAGAATCTCCCTAAGTGAATGCCTGGTAGCTTTTAGTGCATCTTGGAAATAGGCTGATAGGAAAGTTTCATGAATATTGTACATTTGTTTTGGTTTGTTTGTTTACATTGGATCTATACATGGTAGAACATTACAAAGGTATTGATTGGTTACCCACCTGTAGAAACTTAACCTCCCCTACTCCCAGTCTGACAGTTTATGTTGTAATCATTCTTCCCTTATCTTTGGTGCATGCTCTGCCCCAGCCTTAAGCCCCACTCCCAGCTTCAAGGGGAGGAGCTTGCATTAATACTCCGATTTTTGTTCAGATAGGGCCTCGTGTATCCCAGGCTGGCCTTGTACTTTTTATGTAGCTAAGAATGCCCTTGCTTTTCTGATTCTCCTGTCTTTGTTTCCCAAATTACAAAATTACCATTGTGCGTCACCATGCCTGATGTTCTGATGAGTACATGTGCACCAGGGCTCTGTAAGCAGCCTCCAGTAACATGACGCCTGGACTGTTCTCTGAAGCATACGGAGCTCAGGGGCAGGCAGGTGCACACAAGACTGAAACTAGCCCTTGGCTTGCTGATCTCTAAAGAGCTAAACCTGGGGAGAGAAGGTGTGTCCACGCATGCGCTGGAGGCGGCCGAGCGGGCACTCAACAGTGGGCAGAGGAGCAGGGAGAGAAAGGCTTGAACTCTGCCTCTGGGCTTTAGTCACTGTAGATTCCTGGAGAGGCCTCTGATGTAGCAGATAAAACAGTCCCCAGCTCGTAAGGTGGTCAGAAACGGCTTCCAGATGATACCCATGGGGACCATCACTCCAGCCTAAGTGAGCTCTCTCTGCAAAGCCTCATCCCATACAGAGTGTGATACCCACCTGAGGGTGCCATCCAGAGCCACAGGCTCCTCCAGATCCTCCCAGTCACTCTCACTCCCATGGCATCCTTCCGGAAGCGAGGACTCTGCAAGAGCACCCCAGGAACAGAACTGCGGCAGAGGAATAGTTTCCGAATCGGCCTCTAGACATTCTTCACAGGGCGGCTGGCCTGAGAACGTGGAGTTGAGGGTCAGGTATTCTTCATCGTCCGAGGTGAGGGAAGAGGTTTCGTGTAGAAAACATGTGTCCAATCCAGGACTAAAAAACAGAAACTTGTGTGTCGTGCAGCCTCCACCAGAAATCCCTGGCCCCCCTTCTTCTTGCCTCTCAAAATCCTCATCCTAGTTCATCACCTAAGACCCGGCCAGGTTCAAACAGCTCTTGCCCAGAGGATGCCCAGGGCATCAGGATGCAAACAGCACATAATATGGTCCCTGAACTGGTGAACGTCTCAAGCTAATGAGAACAAGAGCAGCGCAGAAATATTACAGCGTGGGCAGCAAGCAGAGGCAGCTCAGCATATGAAACCCAGGAGCCCGTCGGGGAGCTGCTGGAAGGCACAGCAGTGCAGGCCAAGCTGTGAGCTGGGGTCAGCTGTGGGACCTGCTTTTTACACTGAGACCCTGGGTAGGTTTACTGCTTGTCTGCAATCTTAGGTTTGTTTTTTGTTTTTTTATCTGAAACACTGGAAGGTTGGGAAATTGTTAGGACTGTTAGAATGTTTTAATTAAACGATTGCTATACATTATATGCCTTCCAGGACTCCTGGCACGGGGTGAGTTTGCCATCAGTGAGATGCTGTTATTTTTACTCCGATGGTTTGAACTATTTCAGCAGCCAGATTAGAGGAAAGAGCCCATGGAGGCTAGCTAGGAGCGACCTTCAAAGCACTTTGTGAAAACACCGGGCCCTTTTCTAAGCACTGATAAAGTCTCTGTTTAGATAGGCAGCCTGCTGGAGTGACATTTAGTCCCCATGTCAAAAGAAGGACACAGGAGGCAGAGGACCGGTGAGGCTCATTATCTGGCGATGCACACACAGATGTGAGAGAGAGATTCAGCCTTCCAGGGAGGACCCGGGACAGCCACACACGCCTTGGATGAGACAGAGCAGTACTGCAGACAGCAGGGGGTTTCGCACAGCACTGCAGACATGCAGAGAGCCACTCAGAAAATATCTGTTGCTAATCTGGTTAGAGAAGATGAGAAGGAAAATCTAAGAGAAAAGCACAGAGATTTAGTTGTTATTGTTTTAACTAAATACAGGGATCCTCTTTCCTCAACCTCCCTCCCCACACCCAAATCAACGAGTTAGTTTCCTTACACAGTCCCATCCTTGCTCCCTTTACCTTAATGACCCTTTCTCTTAAAACTCAACTCTAGAATACCCCAATAGCTGCAAACCCACAAACACCAGACAGTATGTATCCCAGCCTGAGTGTTGCTGTGAAGGGACATCGTTTCCAGTCCTGAGAGCTAGCTACAGGAAGTGTATACAAGTGCATTTCATGTGAGTATATGCAGATTTGTGTATAAAAAGAAATGATTTTTACCAAGACTATAAAACAATTTAGAAGTTGTCAAGTACTTGGGAGGAAATTTGGTTTAACAATGTAATAAACTTGGTCAAATATGCACAAGTTATGTTTTCTTTTAAACGTAGGGAGGGAACCATGGGTAGTTATGATACAAAGCAAGAAAAGCCATGCACTGCCCCGGCAGAAACAGGAGGCCCTGAGGGTGCAGAGCACAGCTGTCTGCAGGCCAGTCCAGCGGCCTGGCTGTCTACGCTGCATCTTCTTCACCATCATCCCCCTCCACCCTTTCAAGGAGTACCTCTAGCTTTGATGTGGGATGAGCCAAAGAGAAAGTGATCTGCCCCTACACCAAAATCACAGGTGACGTGGGACATCCTACAGTGATGCCCAAGCATGACGAGACCTGATGTGATTGTCACCTTAGGCCCAGACTTTAGCAAGTAGCCTTGTATAAAAATGTGTCCTCAGCCAGTCCCTCCTCTTTCATTAGGTATGAAATCCAGCTCTTCCATGACGATGTGCCATGGGAGCTTCATAAGCTCCGGATGTAGGATACAGCTGAGAATGAGGAAGGATAAGTGAAATCTAATCTGAACACACACTGACTTTGCTGGGGTGCTGGCAGCCATCTGGTGTTAAGACGGAGCCACCTGGCAGATAGTAAGTTCTAGCAGTTGGCTGGAAATTTCAATTGATACGGCTTGTTTTTTAACAAGAAATTACCCAGGAAAGAGTAGGATACAGAACAGTGCTGAGTTCCATCTATGTGCCAGACACCATATTGTCTTGTTTCTTCCGGCTTGCACGGTGGCCTGGGAACCCTGGTGCTGCTGCACAACTGGGTAGCCCTCAGCTAAGGGAAGACAGCTCTCTCTCCGGGCACACATACTAACAGATGATAATGCTGACTCTAAACCACATGCCCCACAGGTTAGAGCCTTTGGCCCCTAACTGCAGAACGTATGACCCAGAGAGGCCAGAAATCAAAGGGGCATTTTGGCTGGGACAGCCACCTCAGACCTACAGATGCTGCCAAGGAGCCCATAGATAACCACAGTCTCACTTTGGAATACCAATTGGGACCCTACTTGCAAGCTGGGGACCCTTCTTTCAGTGATTTCTGGGTATGCACTATACTTTCCTTTCTTTGGAAATCATTGCTCTGAGTGCATAAATGGCAGCTAAGGACTGTCTTGTGCAGGAGCGGCTGCCATACTCGGTGTCCTGATTTCAGAGTGCAGGGAAATTCTTGAATGGAAGAAGAAAATGAGGTACAAGTAAAGCCAGGAGGTGGGGGAGGAAGAAGGCTGTCATTCCCAGGACCACCACGGAAGCAGGGCAAAGGCATGTGTGGGTCCAGAGGGGTTTGTAGCTAGCCAGCTATCGATGGCCACAGGAGCTTAGGGAGGTAAAAAAAAAAAATGAGGTGGTAACCATAGCAACTGAGCATCAGAAGCTTCACTAGAATGTTCTGGACAAACCTAAAGGATTCTAAGTGACCCTCAAAAGGGAACGTCCTTCAAGAATGACAGGTTTGGGACATATGGTGTACTCTTGCAAATAAGCCAAATTTAATCTGATTCAGGAAATAAAAAAAAAAATAAATGATTCTCTTGTGAAAAAAAAAAAAGTCCCACCCTTTGCCAAGAAGCTGTTGGCATTTAATTGCTGCTAGGTGAAGGAAAGTCGGTTTTCTTTAATGGAATAAAACTTAGTGTACTGATCACAATCCAGAGCAGGCCACACAGCCAGGAGTAGTTAGCCAACACAACTAGACTGGGCGGGGGTTGTTTGTTTGTTTTTGAGAGGTGAGGAATGAAGCCCTGTTGTAGGGCAGTGGGGGAGAATCTGGCAGGAGTTGGGGGAGGGGAGTGGATATGATCAAAATACATGGCATGAAATTTTCAAAGAATAAATACAAACATTATTTTCTAAAAGTGAATAACAATAAGATCAGAGGAGATGGGGGTCAGGACTTGCAAGTAAAAAAATATGAAAAGGTAAATTTCACCAGGATGTAAAGGAGCATTGTCTGACCCACAAGGGTGTGGTGACAAATGGCTCCTAATGCAGGAGCAAGTTGTGCGTCCTGGAAACATTCAGGGAAGAGCAAGCATCCCTTCCTGCAGGAAGCTGCAGTGTGCGCTCTCATGGGGAGTATGAGGCTGGAGTTGACCATGTTTTGTATGAAATGAGATATGCTGTGATACCGAAGCACTGATGGCCTGGGCTAATTAGAAGTTTTAAATGTTTTTATTAACCATTGGCTATATTGAGTTAAAGCCATATGGTAAATACAGATCTATCTAGACTTGTACTTAAGCCCAGAGATACATTTAATCCAGAGGTAGATCTAGATCTAACTAGATTTGCACTTAAAAGCAGAAAAACTTTTAATCCAGTTATCAATGATCCCTTTATAAGCTTTCTGGTAATGAAACTTTTAGACATGGGGCTGGTGAGATGGTCCAGCGGGGAAAGCGGCTTGCGGCCAAATGTTATGACCTGAGTTTGAGTGTAAGGAAAGAGCTAACTCTCCCAGGTGGTCTGTATCTTCTACACATGCTCTCTCTCTCTCTCTCTCTCTCTCTCTCTCTCTCTCTCTCTCTCTCACACACACACACACACACACACACACACACACACACTGTACAAGCATGTTTTTAAAACCTTTAGAAAACTAAACAAATGGCCTTATGCCTACAGGAAAGGAGAATTCTCATATGTCCCTTACTAATGTCTGGGTACATCTCTAAGTTGTTCCCTTTATCATTTCACCAAGCTTATCATATGGTGCCCAGGATTCAAAACAAACAAACAACAAAAAACCTGTAACTGTAACATTGTAAGGAGCATATGTTAATTATTAGATAATGAGAATGAACGTTATGGATGGATGTGCTTGCCCATGCTGTTTCTATGTGGCAAAGCAGTTGGTTTCTGTTTAGCTTG